GGTGGTGATGATGATGATGATGATGATGATGATGATGATGATGATGATGATGATGATGATGATGATAATAATAATAATAAGAATAAGAACAACAACAACGACAATAATAATAATCTAATTTTGTGTATTAACTACAAAGTGTTTACATGTTTCTTAATGGTTCTATAATGAGATTTTATCTAAATTAATAAGTATTAGAAATAAAACTCATGGCACTTAATACTCATTAATCAACTACCGTCCAACAAATCCAAGGTACGGCATAAATATACAATGTTCAATTTTATTTTTCGAGCATGATTTATGAATCATTTAATCTTGAATTCATGAAAGATTTTGATGTTTAGAATGTTTTATTTTGTGTTTTGTTTTTAATATTTAATGAGATATGATGATTAATCTTTGTATCGAAAACATAAGATCATAGTATACAATTGATATCGATAACAAAAGAAATCAAACATAATTTGACAATTATGTGAAAGACTGGCTAGGGCTTATCGGACAACTAGAAAAACAACAGCTTGTAAAGCAACACTGAACAAAAGTTCCATCATTCGGTCATATGAGAATTATGTAACTGACCCAACTTCCACACTTATCGAAGATGTCCAAGACATGTATGATAAATGTACAGCGGTTGTGGATGCAGGACTAGAAATCACGTATATCGAGGCTGTTCATAATCTTATAAACTCACTTCCACCTGAATGGGGAGACATAAAAATTGTGTTTAGAGCTTAGATGCTATGAGGTAAAGTAATACCCCCATATTTTATATAGCAATTGACAAGCAATGTTATTGCTAGAATTTCGAACATCTTATGCGTGCCTAAATTATCATATTTTAGCACTGGAAAATAATAAATAGTTAGATGGAAAGTATAGATCTTCCCTCAGGCGCTAATTTAGAAGAGAGAATCGTTGGTTCCTTATAGTCATTTACAAAATCCTCAGATGTCTGAAGAGTTCAAGCAAGGTCTTCTTTTCCAGATGACAGGAGATTCCGATGAATTCCCCACCTGATAAGACTGATCATGCCCTGCTGCTTGGCTTGGAATCAAACTAGTGCCTGACAGGAAGAAGTTTCGCCACTCACTTGACACAGAACTAATCGGGAAAGGACGCAAGCAAGACGAGAGGCATCCCGAAACCAATGAAACTAGGTCAGCTGCTTGATTGCAGGCGTAGGCATGTCAGCATAGAAGCTCTCACATCGCAGGTATCTGCTGCAATCCGTGACTTTTGAAACTCGATTTGTCGCAACAAGAGGTATTGTCTCCGCCTTTTCAAGTAGGGTAGCTCAAGCTATCCCTGTATATGCAATGAGCTATTTTAGACTTCCGAATGGGCTCTTTTAGGAGTTAAACTCTTTCGCCTGCCGTCCCCCTCCTCTTGCTTTGCTAGCTTTCCTTTTCAACTCGGAAGCACTTAATTGAATAATAAATAATTTAAGATTACAATTTAAGAAAAATAAATAAATACGTAACAATAATGGGATGATCTAGCCACTTGATTAAATGGTGGACACAAGGAAATGATTCAGCTACTTGCTAGATACTAGTATATTTATAGGAAATGAACATACAGATGTTGATCCAACTACCTCCTAAAACATGTTGTCTAGTGCTTAAACACATAAAGATGATCTAGCTGCTTCATAAAGTAGGTGGTCTAGAGATTAGACACATAGAGCTGATCCAACTGCTTCATAAAATGGGTGGTCTAGAGAGCAAACACATGGGTGGTGATCCAGTTGCTTCCTAAAACATTTGGTCTAGGAGTGAAAACATAGGGGATGATAGAGCTACTTCCAAATTGATATATGCTTATGCTTATTGACATGTTGATGCTTAATACTACCTACAAATTGTTATGTGATTATTGACATGTTGATGTAAGATAGTTTAATAGCTTGCAACAAACTGGTACTTAGTTAAGGTAAGCTTACTTGCAATACAACATGTTTCTAGCATAGTGAACTAAGTATACAAATTATGATGTTGAAATTCTAAATGAACCAAATTTATAAAATGAGCATTCATAAGTATGGAAATTGGTTGTTGGTTGTATACAAGGTCCACGACCTTAAGTGACTGTTGAAGCTGAGAAACCGGCATTAAAGTTCAGCTATCATTATTGGCAAAAGAGAGAATTAATCCCTCTTTCTCTTTCATGGCCACATATCTTTCCGGCTAAGGAATGGGAAATCTTTGTCCTGTTACATGAATCCAATTTTCATTTCATCCGGGAAAAGCCATCTTTTTCTCAACAATGTCTTTGTCATTTGATCCAATATCATTCCATTAGGTAGGAATGGATTTGATAAATACTGATAACTCTCGGATAGAGTATTAGAATGGAAAGATCCATTAGATAATGAACTATTGGTTCTAAGACATCTCTGACGATTAATCAACAATTCGAAGTGCTTTTCTTGTGTATTCTTGATAAACCAACGTTTATATATAGATGTAGGAGGATCTGTTTGGGAAGTAAGAAGCCCCTTTGACATCTCTTCATCTGCAAATAATTCTCAATGTGAAGCCAGGGGGCTAATGAGAAGGCAATTCTGTGCAGGCCAAATTCTAACCAAGAGAAGGCTTATATACTGGCCAAATTCTAGCCGACAGGAGGCAATTAAGTGCTAGCGAATATTATGGTAGTGCCACTTTATTAATTTGAGCTCAAGTATACAACAATGACTCTGTACTGACCAAAAGAAAATGAAGATTAAGAATTATTCATTTCATCCCATGGATGATTTATACACTCACACCATGTTTCACTCACGAGTTGTTGATAAACTTACTCTCTATTTCATCTTCCTTTTTAGATCGGCATGTCTAGAAGCTATGTGGAATACTTCGAGGATAGCTGGGTGATGACACGAGATGGACTAGAATTTCATTGGATTATGTTGATGGAAGTATGATCTTATGATACGGATGATGATGTCCTTTTTATGTTGGAATTTACTGTTGCAGTCATTGTTCGCTACTGTACCACTAGTTTTAATGTAATCTCTATTGACATATATGTTACCTAAATAGGTAAAAGGTAACCCCAAGTGATAAGAAAAGGAAAGATCACTACCCTTTTATTAAATCCTAGTGAGGATAGGTAGTGAAGTTAGATATGCTCCTTCTCCTGTTTTGATTTTTGAAAGGAAGAAGGTGCTAACTATTGTAACTTTTGCAAAGAAAAGTCTGTAGTGAACAAGTAATGCAACAAGATATGGTATAACTTTTGGTTAAAATGCTTCAGTTATTTTTCGCTCATGTAAAAACATTTCTAATGTCAAAATATGACTTCAGGTATATGAAATTATTTTTTTAAAATAATCATGATAGTAAACGTATCTTGCGCTAGTGTATATAAAAGTTAATATGAGTAGCAAAAGTGAGTCGCTGCAACCCTCCAGAGCACTTAGATATGATTGAGTTTGGCACGTATTGTCATCCCTTTGGGATGAGTGGAATAAGAGCCTACTACCTGGCAAAAGCTTGGCTCATGGGTTGTTGGGAGTAGGGGTGGGATCCAACGAGCTGAGTAAGGCTCAGCTCGTCGAGCTCCCGACTTCACAAGCCTAAAAAATGTGAAGAAAAAGGATGAAAATTTCAAAAAAAAAAAATCCAACCTGTGGCCTCAGCTCAGCCCACTAGCTTGTGGCTCGCGAACTCATGAGCTCAAGGGCCGAGTTGAGCTCATGTCTTTAAGGGCCGAGCCAAGCAACCTCTACTATTACCAAAACGTGAGTCCGAAGATAAGTTGGCAAACAAGGTGGAAGATGAGGTCGAGCTAGAGCCCACGCTTGAGTATGAGTCAGACTCTGAGGAAGAGCTTGAATCAGAGCATGAGGATAATTTTAGGTTAGAGTAAGAGAACAATCTCTAGCCACGACCTGAGCTACAAGTCGAAATACATCTTGGTCCCGAGGCAGAAGTCTCCTCAGAAGATGAGGCTACACCAAAGAAGATTCGTAGGATCATAGAGATTAGAAACTTAGATTCTATTTTCTTTGTTCTATGAAGTTTTACTTTCCTTCCCGTTTCGAAAGAATATGCTTTATGCTATTTGAGATTTATTTAATCAATAGTACATCCTAGTTTCAAGGATTTATATGCATGAGATTTCATTTTCCCTTGAAAATATTGAGCTCACATTGTCAAAGGTTACATAAAACAAAATTTTTAAATTTTGTTGATTTAAAACAAATGGCATAACAATAAGACCAAACAGCTATGTTCAGGGATCTTATGAGGCAGTGCATGACCTTAGTAGATGACATGTACAAGCTAGTGCCAACAATACGGGTGCAATTGTAAAGCAATTTCACAGTTTCGAGCCTCCTTCGTTTGACGGAAGAGCTGACCCTTGGGTAGCTGAGGAGTGGTTAAGAGGATTGGAGCAGATCTTCAAACACATGGAATGTACTGACACCCAAAAGGTATTATGTATTAAATTTATGCTAATTGATGTAGCAGGCCACTGGTGGGAGTCTGCATCATGCACTAGAATAGCAGTAAAATAATGCGCTATGAATTGGGTACATTCAAGGATGAAGTAATGAAAAAGTACTTTCCCAGTCCCTAAGGGATCGAAGTAAGGCAAAGTTTTACAACTGAAGTAGGGAAAAATGCCGCTTGAAGATTATGAAAGAAAGTTCAAACAACTTTCTAGGTGAAAGCTAGGAGGTTTGAACTACGATTATGTCAAGAGATTGGAGGAATCATGGCATCTCACCATACCACAACCTACAATAAAGTATTGCAACGAGCTCCGTCAATTTCTGATGACTGGAAATGGATAGGATGATCGAGAAAAGTAGTGAATCTTTTGAAAACGAAAGCGGAATGGGTCGGACATAAAGAAAGGATTTGGACAGAGCAAGAAAGCTAACGCAAGATCACGATCAGGATCAAGCAATCCAAATAAGACAATTCCCCCATGTCCTAAATGCAACAAGGGCCACTTCGGAGAATGTTGGTTTGGAAAGAATGTATGCTATTGATCTGGCAAAGAAAGGCATTTTGCTCCTGACTGTAAGGCATATCAACCTACGGACTGTGAGCAGAACAAGAAGGGAAAAGCCAAAGTAGGCTTGAAAAGACAATAAAGGATCCGAATGTAATTGTAGGTGTATATCAGTATCTGAAGTACCTGCATACGTTCTTATAGACTCAGGAGCTACTCATTCATTTATCTCTACTGCATTTATTGCTAAATCATGTATTGCGTATGAAAAATTGGAGTGTTCTAGAAGTAGTAATCCCATTAGGTAGAACATTGAACACCAATCGGATAGCTAGGGCAATAAAGTTTGAAATGGATGGAAGGGAATTAAAGTTGATCTATACATCTTAGATATAAAAAGATTCTGATGTTATTCTGGGAATGGATTGGTTGTGGAGAGATCATGCAACCATCCGATATTTTGAGAATGAAGTAATTTTTCATAAAAGTCTGGAGAGGAAGAATTTCGATTCTTCGCGGAACGAGTAAAGTTTAAACGTCATATCGTGTCTGCCATGAAGGTAGAGAAGATGTTGAAGAAGAAATCTTGCCATGGATTTTTGGTAAATATATCTGGAGCTCAGCAATCAAAGGTTCCTCTCCCTGTTGTACCAATTGTACGAGATTTTATTGATGTGTTCCCTAATGATCTACTTGGCACTCCACTAGATAGACAAGTGGAGTTTACGATTGATCTCGTGCCTAGGGCGGGGCTAGTATCTAAAGCTCCATATCGAATGGTGTCCAAGGAAATACAGGAATTGAAAATACAAATACAAGAATTGTTGGATAGAGGCTTCATCTGACCAAGTGTATCTCCTTAGGGTGCACCAATTTTAATTATGAAGAAGAAAGATGGTTAAGTGAGGATGTGCATTGATAGTGAGCTAAATCAGTTGACTATTAAAAATAAATATCCCTTGCCACGAATTGAAGACCTCTTTAATCCATTAAAGGGTGCAACTGTATTTTCCAAGATTGACTTAAGGTCAAGTTCATAACCAGTGGAAAGTGAAGGCAAGCGATATTTAGAACTTGATATGGTCATTACAAGTTCACTATAATGCCGTTTGAATTTACTTATACTATTGCAATGTTCATGGACTGGTTGATCGAGTATTGATGAAATATCTAGATCGATTCGTCATTGTCTTCATTGATGATATTTGGGCGTATTCAAGGAACAAGGAGCAACATGAAGAACAACTTAAAATAGTACGGGAAACACTAAGGAATGAGAAATTGTATGCCAATTTCAAAAAGTGTGAATTTTGGTTGGATCGCATAAGTTTTCGTGGTTGTGTGGTTATAGCACAAAGGATTGAAGTAGACCCTACTAAAGTTGAGGCAGTAACCAAGTGGCCTAATCCGTCGAATGTAGGTGAAGTCCGTAGCTTTGTTGGATTGGTTAGTTATTATTGAAGAATTCTCTAAACTAATTGGGCCAATGACCCAACTAATCAAAAATGGGGTGAAATCTTAGTAGACCAAGAAGTGTGAGAAGAGTTTTTTCGAGAACCAAAATGGAAATTGGTCACAACTCTAGTATTGGCTATACTAGAGGGCTCAAATGGATTTGTTATATATAATGATGCATTCAAACAGAGTATGGGTGTTTGTGTTAATGTAGCATTGGAAAAATTATCACTTATGCTTCAAGACAGTTAAAACAACATGAGCAAAACTATCCCACACGTTTAGAGTTGGCGGCAGTGGTACATACTTTGAAAATATGGCGTCACTATTATGGGGGAAAATGCGACATCTATACTGATCACAAAAGCCTGAAATACTTGTTCACATGGAATGAGTTAAACATGAGGCAAGGAAGGTGGTTGGAATTGGTTAAGGATTTATGAGTACACAAATCCATCAGAGTAAGGCAAATGGAGTCGCTAATGCCCTTAGTCGGAAGATAGTGCGACAGTAGGTAGCTCTACCCATAGCTTCAAGGACCGTTGTTAAAGGAATTTGAGATATTGAGATTGAAAGTGATCGTCCTGTCAACTCATGTTACTACAAAGATTGTGATATTAAAGATCCAACCTACACTTAGGGACCATATCAAAGATGCTAAGACAATGACTCATTCTTGAGAAAGATTATGGCAGAAGTTGGTACAAATAAACAAAAGGGGTTTGTTAGAGTAGATGATAATGCTTTGATGTTTGAGAGAAGATTACGTGTACCAAAGGATGAATGAATAAGGAAAGAGTTATTAGAAGAAGCTCACTCTACCCCTATGCTGTGCATCTCGATGGTATAAAGATATATTGAGACCTTAGCTATACATTTTGGTGGAAAAATATGAAAAGGGGAATTGGTCTCTTTGTTGAGAAATGTATGATATGTCAGCAAGTTAAGGTCAAGCATTAGAGACCATCAGGGCCATTAAACCCATTAGAAATCCAGAATGGAAATGAGAGAAGAAAGCTATGGATTTTGTTGTAGGTTTTCCAAAGACAAACTGAGGGCATAATGCTATATGGGTAATTGTGGATAGATTGACAAAATCATCTCACTTCCTTCCAATACAAATGAACTACAGCATGCATTAGTTTACTCAATTACTTGTCAAGGAAATTCTCAGGCTGTATGGAGTTTCTACTTCCATTGTCTCAAACAGAGATCAAAGGTTCACTTCTAAATTTTGGAAGAGCCTACAAGGAGCTATAGGGAAAAGTTAAATTTCAGTACTGCCTATCATCCCCAATCAGATGAACAGTCAGAAAGGACTATTCAGACCCTAGAAGATATGCTTCGAGCATGTGTCTTGGATTTTGGTGGTAGTTGGTAGTCATGCCTACCATTAGTAGAGTTTGCATTTAATAATTGCTTTCAAGCTACTATTGGCATGATTCCTTATGAAGCTCTCTATGGTAGAAGATGTAGATCACCAGTTCAATGGGATGAAGTCAGAGAAAATAGAATTTTGGGTCCAGAAATTATTGCAAAAACAGTGCAAGCAATTGATAAAATTAGAGACAGAATAAAGTCGGCTCAAGATAGACGGAAAAGTTATGTAGATCGAAAAAGAAAGTCAGCTGAGTTCGAAGTTGATGGGAAAGTTTTTCTAAAAGTGACGCCAATAAAAGGTTTTCTGAGAATGGAAAGAAGGGAAAGTTGAAACCTCAATTTATAGGTCCTTCTGAAATTCTAAAAAGAATTGGAAATGTGGCATACCATTTAGCATTACCACCTAGATTATTGACAGTACATACTATATTCCACATGTCAATGCTTAGAAAGTATGTGCATGATCCTAAGCATGTGATATGCCACTCACTAGAAGTGCAGAAAGACCTAATTTATGAAGAGGCTCTCGTGAAAATTATTGAGAGGAAAGTGCATGCTTTGAGAAACAAGGAAGTTGCCCTGGTTAAAATTTGATGGAGAAATCATGGAGTCGAAGAAACTACTTGGGAGAAAGAAGAAGAGATATAAGTCAAGAATCCAGAGCTTTTCGACTAAATAAGGTGATTTTGAGGGCGAAATTATTTTAAGGGGGAAGGGATGTAATGTTCCAAAATTTATTTACTTCTTACATATGTCATAAATTTTGTTAATTTAACTTTGGTCATTAGCAAATTAATTGGTCCACATATATATAACTTCCTAATTATGCAATTTTAATTTCTTCTAAGTATATGTGTGCCAAATAATTTGGTATAGCAAATGTTGATAAAAATATATGAATATGGGTCTCATCTTGTAGATTGTGTTAAATTACGTAAATTGGGTTCAAGAGAAATTTATTGTGAACCCATTATGTCAAGTTATTGTGGTTGAAATGAAATTTATGTATCCATTTAATATAATATTAATTATTATTTTCCTTTGCATTGATTGGTTGACAAATCTATGGAATTTCACATGTGGTAAAAAATAACAACCAATCTTATCCTTTTGTTTGTTTTGATATTTATTGGTGGTATACATGTGTGTAAGTTATGAGAACATGTGGTGGTTTTTCTCAATACTTTACCATTTTTTTTAACCCACCTACAAATCACGTTTGTATTTACACGCAATTCCTGCATACATACAAACTAATAAACTCTATATATATTGCGATTCTTCAAGTCAAGGCAAGCAGGAAAATACTTTTCCAAATCCTTAGTAAATTCAGATTTTTAAGGTAAGATACATAAGTGCAGTGATTAAATTTTTATTCTCCATGACATCTATATTATGATTTCATTCAACATCTTAAGACTCCAAGAAAAGATTTTTATGTTAAATCCTTCGGGATGGACTATCTATTCAAATTATGTTAAATTCTATGGGATATGGGAATTCTAAAGAAAATCATTGAACTACTTGTTATCGCGATCAGTGGCTCTAAATCTATGAATGTGGGGTATGAATGTTTCATTTATATTTATGTTATGTTGAATATAAATTTGCACATATCTAACTGAGTGTTTTGTTTAAAATACTCACTCTTACAAAAATTTCAGATTAGAACGGGTCGTTCTGGACGAGTGGATGCTTATGGGTTACCAAGTTAAAAAAAAAAAATGATTTTAAGCACATTCATGACTAGACTTTTATTTAACATTTCATGTTTAGTATGTGCAATTTTATTTTGTAGTTCTGACATTCATATTCGTGTATTTCATTTAAATTGATGTTGAATGATTTTAATTAAATTTAAATGTTAGTTTGTTACTCTTTTAAATCCAGAGGGTCGATTTAACAAATTTCCTTTAAAGTTCCAAAAGTAATTTTATTTCTTCAAAAATAAGAAATTTGATAGAACTAATCTAGTGGTAAATAATGGGATGTACCTAAGGGTGTACACCCCCCTCACATGAGATGTGTGGTCCACCCGAATAAGTGTTTTTTCATTCGAGTGGATCCCACATCCCATGTGAGAGGAGTGGTACACCCTTAGGTACACCTCTATGTACAACTAGTACCACCGAATTTGATAACACTTCTTCTTCTTTTTTTAAATTGAATAAAAGGCGTTACATATGTGACCACATCTGAGACAACTATGCAACCACATAGTTTAAGCCAAATGCAAATTTTCCATTTTTTTGCGAAATCTCCTAATTTAATTAAAATTCAATATTTTTGGTATCTTTCAATTAAAAGTAGAATTTGATTTCGTTTTGACTAGGTTTATGAAATATTTTATTTGTACTAAAACTCTATTTTATGATAACTTTTTGTGTTATTAGATTATTGAATCTTGTGATCAAGGGGTCAACATAGTGTCGGTGATCGGGTTGGTTATTTGGTTTAATATTTTTAGGTCAAACTCTAAATGTCTATTATTGGCTTTCTTGGATTTGAATCAATCTCGTGGGAGTTTTAGCTACTATTGCTATGTGAGTTCACATCAGTTAACATCATTTGTTTGATGTATCTAGTTTTACAAGTCAATTAGGATTTCATTATTATTGCTTATATATTTGGCATTATTCACTGTCCAAGAATACCAATACATTATTTGAGATAGTAATATACATAGTGAGTTATTTGCTTTCGTATCCTGTTCTTTATTGAACTATCCCAAACTTATCAAAGATTCCCAATCTTTGTGTCATTCCAACCCTGGTTCTTGATTCAAGAAATCATTGTGTCAATGTTATAACTTTTATTTTTAGCTTTACTGGGGTTCTATCAAATCTTATGTAGGTTCCAAGTTATATCAAATGGGGTTCACATCAATTAGTATCAGAGCTTTGGCTCTAAAATCAAGTTTTTTTTGTTCAAATCAAGTTTTTATTCAGAAATCATTGAATCTTTATCCCATTCATAAGTCATTAATCTCAAACAACCATACCAAGAACGT